GTTCTTAATTCAGTAGTTCTTAATGAAAGTGTAGTTGACCAAAATCTAAGAATTATAACTGAGTGAGGTTGTTTATGGGAGGGAGCTCAGTATTTGAAGGTGTAGAACCTACCAGCTTCAGTCCCCTAAACACTGCATAAATTTTATCAGATAAGCTCCTTCTGTGTAGTAAATCATGAGAGTGAAATGAATCCAGAATAGTCCCAAGACATACAGTAAGAACCAGATTAACTGTAAATTAAAGAAATTAAAAATGGTCGAAGTAGAGACTCTAGTTTGTTTTAAAACATCTTATTTCATCTCCAGATAGAGTTTGCTTATAAGTTTAATAAGAATACTTTCTGAAGTCTGTAACTCATGCAAGAACTCTTCAGGCCAAGATAAAACAGATAGGCATTTTTGCCATGTGCTCACATTGTTTGCTTTGTCTATATCCTGCTTGTGATAAAATTTCCAGTATTCAGTTCTCTTTACAGTTTTTTCTGAGTCATCAATTTAAAAAAAAACAAAACCAGAATCACACATAGACATTGGCATTCCTGTGTCTAATTTACAGAAAAAGCAAAATACCATTAAACATATCTACTAGACTCTATTTTATAAAAATCTATGATCACAGATTTATCCTTGAGATGACTCAGGAAAAAAAAAAAAAGAATATTTCTCTACATTTCACCTAAATGTGGAAGAAACAGTTTAGGAAATTAAAGGGATATCTAAGGCCATGCATTTCACTTCCTGCGATCTTCCTCATCTACCAGGAAGATATACACATGTATGTAAATTGCTGCTCATCACAATTCCCACTTATTTTGCCTTCTTTCTATACATGCAAGCATAGAGCTTATGCAGTCATATCTCCTAATTTTCTTCCTTTATTAATTCTGACTTTTTTACAGCTTTTAGGAATAAGAAAGAAAGCAACTTTTTCTGGACCAGAGATCATCTATTCAGGGCTTAACATTGGGAAAGTGAGAGCAAGACTACAAACAGCTAAAACTGGGAATTTCCAGTTTAATGGAAAATTCTGGTATTTTGATTATTCTGAATCAGAACAAACTATTTCAAAATTTCCCACAAAGAAGAAATTAAAAACAAAAAACACTTAAAAAATGCTTTCAGAAATGTTGAAACATTTTGTTTGAGCTTTTTAGTTTTGTTTATTTAATATTACTTCTCATATTTTGTATCTTTGCATCACCTTCATAATACACTATACCTCATTTCATGCCACTTAATTAATGAGTAATTGCCATAATATATTATCATTTTAAAAAATGTAAGTGTTTAAATTGTGAACAAATATATCCAGTAGCTGATGTATATCTCATTTGAGTAGGAAAATAAGGTCAATATTTGGCTTTGTATCATTTTTAGCAGCATTTGTTTCTAAAACTAGAAATAACATGGAGATATTCAAATTGTATTAATATTAATTATTAATATGGAGATTATCAAATTAGTAGCTACTTTTATTTGTACTATAAATTAAAATTACGCAGTACTTTATTGCATCAGAGCATTCTCACCATGCTCTCTGCATCCTAGTCGAAAGCAGTAAAGTCCTTGCCACCTTTTGATCTCAGCAAAGCTATTATTCTTACTCTACAAAATGTGAAATACTCAGTAATTTCAGTTTACAAGTCCATGGATTAATTCTGACCTGTTACTAACATCGATTCTTTCTACCACTACTGCCTACAAGCAGTAATTCTGGACTGAGTTTCTCACACATCCATCCTGCTCTTGAAACACTTATGCTTTTCTTCATCAGCGAATGCGAAAGGTTTCAATTTACATGACCCTCTCTAAAATCCAATCATGAAGCTTGCACTTTCCCTCTTCGCCCAAGTGAGAAACTGTTTTTCATGGCACTGCTCTCTCCTTAGTGTCTCTTCAACACTGGCAACGTAATGACAGCTCGGATTGCGTGCCCTCAGCCTTCCCACCACATTTGTTACTTGGATTTCATCTAGCGACAACACTACTTAGGTCACCATGAAAAAAGGTGTTTGAGGGGTTTTTTTTTTTAAAAAACAAATGAATTAGTAAGATGATTTTGTTCTTGACTTCTCAACTTTTAACTTGAAAGGAATTTTCCATGATATACCTAACTAATCACTAACTTCAACACAAATTTCATATTAATAAGATACACCCCTTCACCACTTTCTTCAAAGACAATCTTGTCTCTGCTATTTTCACATAATGAAAAACAGCTGTTCACCAGCCACCATGTTTATTGTCTTCTTCCATGCTTTATCCCACCATGCTCTCTACCCTATCACCCTCTCAGGTGATATCTATTATAGTGGTTCTATCTTGGTTCCAGAAAACTTGTAATCCCGATGTAAAACATGAAAAACAGCTACAAATAACTGCATATAGGTAAGAGTGATCTAATACAGAAGAATGCAAGAGGCATGCACACTGGTTGCCTTACTATACTTCAGATTTTTTCAGGCATTGTGGCAATCCTCCTACCCTTTTAAAAAGGATTTAAGGAGGGACAATATATTAATTTGGATAAATGATTATTTCTAGTTTTGCTATCTTCTATAAAATGGAGTTGTCCCTGGAAAAATTGACATAGGAATTCTATAGCTTTAGAGCATGTTAGTGATATCATATGGATATTAAAGTGTAAAAGATGAGGATCAGGACACATAAATTCCTAAATACCTTGTTACATCTCTCACTCATTTAACATGTCTTTGTGGTCATTATATCACTGCAGGTCATATTTAAGAAGCCAAACAAAACTATATATGTTATATTCTTTTAATGTAGAATAACTATACACATTCCAATTAAATAATTTTTTTTGACCTGGACATCTTTTTGAGTATTTTGATGACTACCATAAACTCTGTAGTTAACAGGTGCATTTTATTTAAGGGAATGTATGTAACTGCATAAGCACTTTAAAATAAGAAAAAAAAGAAATAAGTGAAGTATATCAGAACCTTAGGCTGGTGAGGTGCATTGAGGAAAAGCGTTCAGAATGGCAAACGCGATTATCAGTTGTTTAGAGACACTGTGATTCTCTGGTTACCCTGAAAGCCAAAAGTCGCATCTTCTACTGCATCCTACTCTCATGCCAAGAAAGGCCTGGTGAAACCTAGGAGAAAGCAAGCTGTGCAGAGAGAGACAAGGGTTTGCAGCTCAGGCACTGGGGAAGTTATGAATGAGTGGTATTCCTTCTGTTATTCAGGAAGAAAAAGGCAGAAGTATGGGCACCCACCTGTAGTACAGTAAAAGCAAAAAAAAAAATGTTGTCAGACCTTTGTTAATTTGTCATCCCACATTCTTCTGCAAGACTTGTGAAAAAAGTGATACATGTACTATGAGTAGCATCAGGCTTTATCAAGCTATGTGTAGAATGGTGCCACTATGCAGCGACCTCTGAAATGCAGAGGGAAGAATAAAAGAGACCAGAATATTAAAATATAGCACCTGCAGTACAAATGTGTATTAGAATACTCAAACTATTAGTATTACCTGAACTAAGCAAACTTACCTCAAAGACCCCTGTGATTCTGCCTTTATGTTACATTAGAAGAAATCCCTTTCAAAGATTAATCAGCTTAGCTAACCATACAGTGTTTAAAATTGCACAGAGCAGAGTATGAGCCATTCATAGACGATACAAATAACTAAATGTGTCCTTTCTGCCTGGCAAGCATCGTATAGTTCAAGGTGGATCTGAAAACTAAGAAGAGATCTGGGCCAACATGATCTCAATTGTTATTTTCAATAATAAAGTACAGCTAGCACCTCAGCATGCAACTCTCAGTTGAGTGGAAGCGAACAGGGACAAAATGCAATGTTCTGAAACAGCTTTTATGGAAATCATGCACTGTTTGTGACATGTATTTGGTCTCTGGAGATGCATTCTTGTTTAGTCCTCTACTTTTAAATGCCATCTTACAAATCCAAAGGGTAACAAGTACAAACTGTATCTATAAAACAACATCACAACTTTATTCTCAATAGCTAAGTATTGAAATGCAAGCATACATTATAAATAGAAAAACAGCTGGCTTGGAGCACATTGCAAGCCACTAACACAGTTGAGGGATTTGAATGACATCATAACCCGTGAGAGCATGTTGCTGGCCAGCTGGTGTTATTTATAATATACTCATAATTGAGGAAAAATAAAAAAGGCAAAACTTAGGTATTGCAGAACTAATAAAGTTGAATTCTCTCTTTCCCAGTGTCAAGTAAATTGTTATCAAGAGTAATTTGAAGCTTACTACTCAAAAGGGGGGAAATAACATTATAATTACAACAGCAGATTTAATATACACTTCATGGAAGCCCCCCAAACTGGGCTACTTGTGCTACTATATTTATAGTACTGTAAATTCTAGGAAATTATATGATTTCCCCTGTGTGGTTGCTGAAAGATCACAAAGCTATTTTGCCCTATTTACAAGTAGCACTTAACAATTTTGTTATTTTTAGCAAATTACAAACTGCTATTTTAGGGTTAATCACACAGAGAGTTGGAGGTTTTAATTGTTACTCAGCATATAGGCGTGCCAAGTTTAATAACATAAAGACGCGTTAAGAAAAACATAGATAACTGACTGCCTGCTTTTCTGTACTATATAAATAAAATACCTATGCCTCTATGCAAAAATAAAATGTGTGTATATACACAAAGGTATGCATATATACAAACATTGCCCCTAGGTATATAAGTTTTTATGTATTTGAAATGCAGACACACACACACATAAATACAAATGCACACACGGCTATCTGAAAGTTGACTAGAATACATCTTCTTATTTTTCATGGCAGCACAAGCTCTTTTTGTCTGCTAACCCCTCAGTCACTAATTCACATTTTTGTAAAGGGAAAAAAATATGCTTCTGTGCTCTAGTTTTAAAATGCAAAGGTATGATGTTATTTGTCACCATGCCCAAAAAAGTCCTTACTCGGTAACTTTGCCAGAAGAGGGAGAGAGAGAGAAGGCAAATGCTCCCCCAGCTGTTTCCTGTCTACAGTGTCTGTGTAATGTAGATAAATGTGAGGATTTTCTCTAAATCCCTCTTCTGTTTGCTAAATCTCACTGTCACTGCTAAAATCAGAGCAGATAGAGCCTGCGCAATGGAATAAAGTCCTCAATATTGAAATGTGACATTGCTCTCAACATCTCACATCTCTCTGGATTTCTTTTTTCTCATCATTACTGCTAACAAATTCATTTCCAGACTTTGCACTTTTAAGAAGCAATGGAAAAAATCAACAGTCTTTCAACACAATTAGTTAAGTGCTGCTTGTGTGATTTCTTGAAGGTAAATCTTTATTACTATTTCAAATAATTTTTTAGTTTTATTTTGCTGTGTATTGTCTGCTTCTGGTTTGAAGAGTATTGTGCACTTTTCAATAACATTATTTTAGAACTGAGAATTATTTATAAATTGCTGAACATGCAATTTTATGTGATCTGGAAAATGGCTGTATGTAATAGTTGCAATTACATAGATGACTGTAAGGGTAAACTATTGCAAATACATGTCTTAAATTTCACTTCTATTCAGAGAACTTTGTAATATTTCAGTTATGTCATTATTAAAAGGTCCAATTACATCATTGTCTATATTGTTAATGAATGCTTCTGAAAACAAGAACTTTTAGCTATTTTCTGCAGGTGCAGGGTTTTATAGGAAAAAAGGTATTATTCAAATGTTAAGTTTCTGCAGTTTTATTATACACAATTACAGAGAAAATGTTCATGCTTTCACAAGGAAACTTTCAAGGGATGTTGTCACTGCAGCAATTTTCTGGCAGCATCGTAGCATTTGCTTGTTTTTTGCTTTCATAAATTAAAAGTAAATGAGAAGTTCAGTTTGTTTTCTACATTAGAAACCAGCTGCGACTCTTGCTGACCTTGCATATTTGTACAGCTTAAGCAATTGTACATAAAGAAAATGGAAATTCCCTTACATGTTCATCTCCAAGTTCTCCCTTCTAGGGAGGGCTGTTTCAGGAAAGTTTGCATGTGAAGTTTCATGTTATGACCCTATAATTTCTGCACAATAATATAAACTGTCTTAGGTAAATTTGACTTCAGTAGGTGCATTGACCTCTGTTTCTGTCAGTTGGCTCCAGTTCAACTTTCCATTATCAGCAAATTTATATCCGTCAAGAACTTTTTGTTTTTAATATTTTGCAAGGAGATTTATGCAATTGAAAGAATTATCCTGTTTTAATTGTTTAAGGCCTAATTATTTTTTTGCAATGTCTTACACTTAAAACACACTTATCTCATTCCTTAATGGCCTAATTACAGGTCTGTAATTGTAATGGATGAAATCATTCCCTTAACGTATAAGTGGGTATCCCTTCCAATATACTTGAAAGATGAAGATTTTTTTTTTTTTAAGTATTGAGCAAGGCACTAAGAGACATAAAAGTAATGTGCTAGTTCCTCAGCTGTGCATCCTGCCAAGCTTCCTTGGAATCAATGGAACATATTGATTTAGGTTAGCATGTAGCCCAGATTCTTTACTCAAAGTTAACAGTATTTAAACCTTGATCCGCTCTAGAGTATATAGGCTTTATTTATATAATAATCACTAGTGAATACTGTTATTGCATAATAATTACATGTTTCTACTATGATTTGATAATCAGGCCCACCCTCTCTGTAGTAAAATGTAATTTTGAGTATATATCTTTTGACTTCTTTCTATAGAATATACTGTCCATAAATATGTTGCCCCACTCCAGGTATTTATAATTATTGCAGTTGTTCTTACATGTTACTAAAATGACTGATCACGTGAAGTATTCTTATGCACAACTTTTGTCAACTGATAGTTTTTTAGGCAAAGAGGACTTACATAGAAGAATTAAGAAGTAAAAGAGATGTAGAGTGTTCATATATGACATTCCTTTGTGGTGCCACTCTTCTGGACTGTTAAAAGAGGAATGCAGCAAAAGCTGGCTATTTTACTGAAAAAAAAAAAGGAAATTCCAGCTGTGAAAATATGGTCATTCTATGCAACTAAAAGAAGTGCTTAACCAGGCTCATCTTGAACCTGTATTCAATTTCCTAATGTAATTAGATGCTTCAATAAACCCCACCCACATGGCAAAGCTTTTTCTTTTAAGCTCTCAACTTTCTAGTCAAATTGGGGATAATGTAAGTATTCTGCTTGATTGTAGAGAACCTGAAGCAATATTGGATTACAACTTTGTATTTTCTCAAGAATATTCCCCTCAGACATAAAGTGGAACTTTGATTTTATCACAAACATATTGAATCAATTAATGTTGTGTTTAATTAAAATGATGAAGTAAAGTTAAAGTTTTAAACTATGTTTTGGATGTAGTTTTAATGAAACAGTACTTAATTTATCAAATAATTGATTGAGCCCTAGAAACGTGTGAGTCTGTTTTCTTTTCTGCAAAGTTTTTACGTGTTTGAAAGTTCTTGACTGTTGTTAAATTTGGAGATAAAGTTAGAAATTCTCTGTGGTTTATACTGTGCAGCCTTTTTGGCTTCCACTAAAGGAAAAACAGTAGATAATCTGTTTTGTCATAGTTCAGTGCTGATATTTATCTGAAAATGCAAGCCAGCTGAGAAGTCTTGAAAAATAAAAAATTGTTAAATGTCTAAAATTTATGTTTATTTCTGGACCAAATGTTATACGAGAACAAATTGCTAAATACATAATGTTCTTGTATTTGTAATGTCTTTCAGCTTTCTGAGGCAGTGTGCTAAACAGCTTTCTGCTTTACCTCCTCAGAACTGGGAACCATCTTAAACTGCAGGTGCATCACATTTATCTTATAAATTCAAAAATATGGCAAAGGAAAAAAGAAATTGTTGTTGTTAAGATATGGAATCATTACAGGAAATAATGCCTCATGTTACCATCATTCATTTATAATCTAATCTTTTTCCATCTGCCATTGCAGTCATGTCTGTGCATTCAAGCTTGTTGGGTTTTGCATGGCAAAGTTGGCTAAAGACTCTTGTGAATGGGAAAATATTTATTCATTCTTTTTTATAATACATCATGGGATTTAGATTTGTTCATTATTGTCATAGTGGAAATAGGGGACTCATCTAGCAAGGTACTAAGATCCCTTGCCAAGAAAATAAGAATTCTTAAAAGTTATTGACTAGAGAAGACTCAATACCCCACTGGATCAGATCCCAATTGATCAGACAATAGACAATTTCATCAGTTTTTCAAAAGTTCAGTGAAGAAATAAGAGTAAATGGTCCCTGAAACCCTGAAAGAAACTTCAGGGAAGATTAATCATTTTACTTCAATTACTTTGTACTAGTTTGCTAATACAAAGCAGTTTTAAGCCAATTTTAACTGTATGTGGAAGACAGATTTGTAACTTCTTACCTGACTGCAATACTAATGTTAACCTTGAAAGAGAATGAAATTAAATTCAGATTTACACCTTTTGAAACTAGCATTTTTGGCAAGCGATCTAAGTAAGTTCAGAGTATGCATTAAGCACATTCTTCAGTGTCCTGCTGCTTTAGGTAAATAGCTCTTCCCAGTATTAAAAAAAAAAACCAAAACACAAACTCATCTTCTTTGATATGTTGGGTAAGATCTTTGGACATAAATTGATACTAAAGGAAGTGGATAAATGGAATGGTGCAAGTTTACACCCATTGAGGATTGGCCTTTCTTCATTCATAAGTACAGAATAAAGATAATTCTTTTCTCATTTACATTTGGTTATAAACTATCACCTTTGTGTATACCTACGAGGATATAATGGAGGTCAATGAAGCACGCCTGCATTTCTCGAATGCTTCCAGATATTTGCCTGTTAGTAACAAGAGACTGTAAGAGTCACTGGTTGTGGTCCTCTGCTATGGAAGGTCCCACATGAATTCCAGTAACACTGGCAAGCTGTACCTTGAAACTTGTTTTGGTTTGTCCTGGTATTTTCCTTTTTAAGGTAGCTGGAGAATCATGGAATCCTAATAAAAAACTCTCTTCCTATTAGGCCAAATCTCCTTCCATTCAGTTTACAGCCATTTATTCCTGTGCCAGTGCTGGCTTTTAGTTTAAATAGCTCTTCTCCATCATATACCACCCCCATTTCCCACAGTACATTGGCAGGCAAATCTCGTATTCCCTCAGCTTATCTGTCTAAGACAAACCAATTCGAAGTTCTCTTCCTTACTTCTATCATTCCAGGCTTCCCTTTGCCTGTCTATTGCACTCTCCCATATCCTCCTCTTCCAGGAGCAACCATAAATTGTAGTCACTACAGGGTTCCCTAACTTACATGTGAATGTGAACCAAGAATGTTCACCAGAGGAAATATTCAGTTCACAAAATACATGGACTGGAATACGTAGACCATTGCAAAATTATGATGAGACATTTCCTGATAGTACATTTATTGTCCAAGAAATTATAGTACATATTCATGCTCAGCTCACAAGGGTGCAGGAGTTATTTTCTTTAAGGCTCTGTTGGGAAATTCTGACACTGCTTTTGCTTCCTTGGCAGGTGAAGATGCACACTGTGTCCTACACCCATTTCTTCTACCTTGGGCTGTGTTTGCTTACCTTAACCAGTTCTGTTGCTGCTGGCCCAGAAACACTCTGTGGTGCTGAGCTGGTTGATGCTCTTCAGTTCGTGTGTGGAGACAGAGGCTTTTACTTTAGTAAGTCAACCTTTTCTTTCATTCAACTGCTAAACTTTTCCATGTAATCTGTTGGAGTCTTCTACTCCTCTAAATGGGCTTAGCTATGATCACTGAGGCTGCCGACTATGACTAGTATCCTTTATCTCAGAGACACTCAAGACTTCAATTACCATGAAGTCTCAGTAAAGAATAAAGTTGTGCCTGTGTTCAACCTCTCTGAGTTTCTGATGAATTTTGCTTTTCAGACTTGTTATTGTTTTTAACCACTTTCCAGCTGCTGCTATTCCACCTGCTGTATTACTGTTTTGCACTGACCTATCACTGAAATTAAATGAATGAAAGCACATACTAGACCCAAGATATTCATGAGGCAGAGGTGCATGTACCTGTTATGTCAGACTACTAGTAAACAGTTTAAATACACATTGTATCATATTAAAAACACATTAGCTTCAACATCTGGTTTGAAAAAAAGTAAAGTTGGACAGCAGCAAGCAGAAAGTTACCACGTCCAAGGATCCACATGCTTCATCAGTTAAATACAGGTGGAGGAAAATTCATGCATGGTGAGATAATAAAGACTAACACCAGTACAGGCAACAGATAAAATTAACTCTGCGATTGTGTGGATCAAGAAATATTCACCTTGTCAGTAATAGAAATCTATTTCTGATTTTCAGCTATTTGCTACTCAAATAACAAAGTTAATGAAACTTCTGAATGCATTCATTAACATACTTGTTCAAAACATCCTAGAATTTTTGTTCTTATAGCCTCTGAAGCTAGCATTTACTTTTAATAACAGTACGTGTTTCTCTGATGTTCTTTTCTGAGGTTACCCATCCTTCGTGTCTAGTAATAATTCTTGTCTTCTAAGCTATCATTTTTGGGTTTTTGATCATACCCACCCTATTCCTATTAATTTCTATTCATGGAGTTATTGTTTTCAATATTTACTCCTTGCTTGCAATAAAACCAGAAGTTCAGATTCTTGCACTTCTAAATTATAAAAAATCCTAATTTCCTCAACATATAAACTGTAGACATTTTCATGTTTTCAATATCTTCTTGGTACATTCTATTATAGTTCACTTTTGAAACTGGGCACCTTGGTTTTGTATATGCAAAGTAATTCACTATTCACAGAAGAACCTTTCTTTTCTGTATTTAACATTTTAGTTATTGTCAATGAGCATCTATTCTAGGCTGCTGTTGAACTTAGTATTCTGGTGCTAAGCACAATATTGAAACTACTGGAATCTCTCGTAAAGGATTTTACATTTTTCTACCAACTCTTTAGGTGTTCATTTATACATCAAAATTTGTTATATTTATCAGCAGCTCCATTACACTTAAGGGGTTATTTGAGTGCCCTACAAATACTTTATGGCTGGAATGAATGTAAAGGAAGACTAACACCTCACACTCCTGTTTCTGCACCAGAAAACAATGAGATATATACTACATCCCTAGAAGAGTATAGCAGTTTTTCTTTTACTGTGTGTGTATCTTAGATGTTTCTCTCCCAGTAAAGTCTTTGCTGCTTGTTCAGAGCTATCATTCTTTTTTACCACTAGAGTAGCTGTTACTGCCAAGCTGTCAGACCTACTGTTATGTGTACTTTGTGTTCCTCAAGGTAAGAGGTTATGTGAAATGCCAACCATTAGCAATAAATCTCTTTGTTTTCAATCTCGGTTATTCTAAGGTTTCACAATCTGTTTCAAATCTCTACCCTAAGCTAAGTCATCCTTACTTTAAAATACCTGAATGGGTTTCCAAAGTTTCAAAGGAGATCATTAGTCTTGCAGTCTTGATTTTTTTATCTGCTGTCAGTTAAGACTTTCTCTTAAGTTTTCTCTGTTTTTTTCTCAAATTCTGAGTTTCCACTTGAAATAAAGTAACTTGACACCATAAATGTCGACCCTGTTTTATATGGAAAAGTGTGGAAGATTTTACTCATGAATGACCACTTTTAGGAAAGTCTTGCAAAGTTGTAATCAACATACTGCAGTTGCATCATTCAATAGGAATTTTATGAAGCTGATATGTATGTGGCCCCTTGGATGCTAAGTAATGTGTGTCCTCTACCTGAATACTTCTGATTCACAAGGAAGCAATTTAGTCTGTTTTAGCCTTCTCCTTCAATCTAAAACACAGAACTGGAAAATGTCAGCCCAGTAACACTGGTAAAGCAAATAGCAAATGTACTACCAAAGCTAGTGAATATTTTTCTTTTGTTGTAAAGAGTATGTCAATTAAAGTAGTATTTTGAGCCTTCCTTTCTTATATTCTGGTTCCTTTAAATAAAGTATAATCAATGGTAGTGTTTGCCTTTAACTTGCACAGGAAATAGCTGTGAGGGAAGCTTTTTCTTCCATCATTCTGTATTTCACTAGAGACTCCAAATATAAAGAATACCTTTTGGCTGAGGTGCAACTCCTGGTTCAGATTCAAGGTCAAAGCTTCTGACTATTCCTTGGGAGCTGTGGGTGGAAATGAAGATAGAAATAACTGTATTACTTTCTGTTGAAATTCTGTACTTCACAACCACAAGGCTATATCTATGGCTAGGACTGGAACACAAAAATTTCCTTTATATAGTCTACTTTGCCCAACTTTCTAGCTATAAAAGGAAACTCTTTACAGCTTCTCAGGAGATGCCCCAGCTGCTTACCACACACAAAGGAAAGTATTGACTTCAAGAGGAAGTCAAATGTGGTTTCTACCACTCTTTCTTCATGAGATAGACTGTCAAGGAGCATTTTTAAAGTTTTTTTTAGGGGAGAACATTGCACAAACCCCAAAATAGAGAATTTGCTTTTTTCCTTAGTCACACTTAATTCCAACAGGCAGTGGCTACTCCTCAGACAGTTTTTTTTTCTCCCATGATTCACCAGAGAAAAGCAGTATGTTGCCACCTTTTATCTAGGGACATCTCTCTAGGAGAATTTCTGCCGCTCAAGTTCCTGTGTGCTAGGTTTTGTTGGGAGAAGCCAACAGAGAGCCTGGCCACTGCTACGCAAGTGGCTACACTTAAACACAGCTTTTCTCAATTAATGTTTCTCTAGTCTCGAAACCTCTGGATTCAACAGTCATGAAGAAAAGTGGGATGGCTTCAACATTCATTTGAATTTTAATGTCTAGGAAGGTCTACCATGATACACTTATTACAAAACAATGCTGAGAGCAGAGAATGTTGGAAAAACTAAAAGGACAAATAACAGGAAACTTACAGAAGTGATAACCTAGGAAGGGGTAAATTTTGCCTGAATAGTCTAGTCTTATAACAAGAAATTACTTTGTCAAAAAATTAGTCAAAAAATTATTTATTTGTATGTGTTGAATTTGCTGGACAATCATTTAATTCTTTCTCATACTCTTTCTTGAGGACTATTACTACCACGAGAAAGGAAAGCTCATGTAGTTTTCTCTAAGGAGAAAATGCTATATTCTTTTTGATCTAGTTTCTTCTCCTTTGAAAATACACCTTTTCCAATAAATATATAGCAATCTGGCTAATAATACATATGAGTGCCAATAAAGAAACAGGGTTTTTATTTCCTTAGACATTTTCAGTCTTCTAACTTTTAAAGCCCAGTTAGATGGCAACATCTATTTGAAACCATGACAATCAACTTCATGAATTAAAACTATATCTTTTTTTTCTGTTAAAAACACTGCTTTGGTCTTATGCTGAATCTCCTGAAGTATCACTTGCGTAGAAAAGAAGGAGCAGAATTTAGATACCTGAGACAATGAAGTTCCTCTGATATTCTTCAGAGAATGGAGAATGATCTAGCACATGCTTCCATATGTGAAACAGTGAATGCCATAAAAGATGGTTTTTTTCTGGTATCCAACTTAATGTTCCCTGTGACAACTGCTTTTGGAGAATTATTGCAGATTTTTTCTACACTTTTGTCCAATAAGACAACCAAAATTTTGTGTTGTCCTTTGGAAAATCCCCAGCTGTGCATAGTGTAAGACTATTAGTTTATAATTATCAGAAAATCAGAATAAGAACGTGAACATAATTTTGGGTAATGAGAGCTGTCATCAGATCTCATTGCTTTGTAGAACTAAGGTGTATGTGGAGGAATTGCTGCCTTACATTTTGCTTCTTCCATTTCCCTTTAGTTAAGAGCTTCTTGTTTACTTCAGAAAATCTGCTTTTAAGAGGTTATTAAAGTTTCTAGGCCTGTCAAACCTATCAACATAATTACAAGAGATGGCATGGCACTCAGTTCTTTAAGTACTCCATACCTGTAGGAGCTATGAGTCATTAGCTTCTCTCTGCATCCCTGATTGAAAGGAGCATTAGTGTTAGAAGCCCAGCAGAGGCATGCTGTAAAGCTGCCATGGACACACACAGACTGTGGTGTCAGTGACAGTCTTACAAATCTTTGCAAAAAAATGTTGGTCATCTTGGCTGTGTTCACACAGCAAGATCTAAGAGTGTTTTTAAGTTCCTCGGTCTGGCTGCATGCCCCATTCATGTCCAAATACTGTATCCATGGAAGATTTAGGTGTGTCAATCTTTATCCCCAGGTTCCTTACTTTCCTTATAGGAAAACTAACCTGGAAAGGAGCTCTAGCCAAGTCTGAAGAGTCAGTGCTCAGGGAATTAGAACTACAGGCACATTTACTAATACATACCCCTGTAAGAAAGACAGCTCTCTCCTCTGGAATGGTATCACTGTATAGCCAAATAGCTGACACATAAGTTTGATGTGTGCTTTGTTGTCCCTGGTAGTAAACATTGAGGAAGTTCTCTGAAAATACGCCAGTCTTTGAAAGAATTTTCTTATTTTTTACAACATTAACAAAGGATAGGGAGTGTTCATAAAGTCTAACCCTAGTTTAGTGAGGTTAATCTTCTTAAGTTACCTCTTTAATAACAGAGAGAGAGGGTCTGCCTTCTTTCTCCATGGAACACACAGTGAGTCTAGGAGGATTTATCCTCTAAAACACACTAAATTTAGACCCTGCTAGCAGGTCTTCTCTGCAGCTAGTTCCTC